ACAGCCTCAGGCCCTTTCCTTTTCCTCCTCAGCAAGACTTCCATGAACAAGAACAAGATCTTGACTTGATTCCAAACAATGCTTCATCTGACTACATATCCTACACTTTGGACTTTTATCTCCTCGTTAGCTAAGTCTCTAGCATCCAGAAATTGGTTTCATAGAATCATAGAGTCAAAGAGTTGGAAGAGACCTGATGGGCCATCATCTAGTCCAACCCCATTCTGCCAAGAAGCAGGAATATTGCATTCAAAGCACCCCTGACAGATCGCCATCCAGCCTCTGCTTAAAAGCTTCCAAAGAAGGAGCCTCCACCACACTCCCTCCGGGGCAGAGAGTTCCACTGCTGAACGGCTCTCACAGTCAGGAAGTTCTTCCTCATGTTCAGATGGAATCTCCTCTCTTGTAGTTTGAAGCCATTGTTCCATCGTCCTAGTCTCCAAGGAAGCAGAAAACAAGCTTGCTCCCTCCTCCTCCTCCCTGTGGCTTCCTCTCACATATTTATACATGGCTATCATATCCCCTCTCAGCCTTCTCTTCTTCAGGTTTCTTTTTAATAGAGAACTTATCTTTTCCTCTCGAAGCCTGGCAAACCACCGAGGCTACTGTTTGGTTCTCCTGTTTTGACTGATCTCCTCCTGGCTATCTATTTGCTCTTTAATTTCTGCAGCTGGGCCAGGTGCCGAGCTGTTTTCATGCTCCCTATTATGGGAACAATTCAGAAAGCACAAGATCATCCCCACACCCCTCAGGGACATTCTCATGGAAAACTACACTTTGGACAGGGATCTCCTGGTCATTCTCTGCATCAAGATCCTTGACCAAACCAAATTGCCATCTTGAAACTCATTGACATCACTCCCCACATCCAAAGCACCCTGATCCTGGAACACAATCACAGGCTGGGCTCCAACAGCATGGACCAACTTGGACCCTCCCTCCAGGTGTTTTGGACTTCAACTCCCACCATTCCTAACAGCCTTAGGCCTCTTCTATTTCCTCCCTCAGCAAAACTTCCATGAACAAGAACAAGATCTTGACTTGATTCCAAACGATGCTTCATCTGGCTACATATCCTACACTTGGGACTTTTATCTCCTTTTTAGCTAAGTCTCTAGCATCCAGAAATTGGTTTTGTTTTAACCGAGAACTTCTTATCCTTTTCTCTCGAAGCCTGGCAGACCGCCGAAGTCACTGTTTGGCTCTCCTGTTTTGACTGTTCTCCTCCCGGCTATCTATTTGCTCTTTAATTTCTGCAGCTGGGCCAGATGCTGAGCTCTTTTCATTCTCCCTATTATGGGAACAATTCAGAAAGCACAAGATCATCCCCACACCCCTCAGGGAAACTAGACTTTGGACAGGGATCTCCTGGTCATTCTCTGCATCAAGATCACTTACCAAACCAAATTGCCATCTTGAAACTCATTGACATCACTCCTCACGTCCAAAGAACCCTGATCATGGAACACAATCACAGGCTGAGCTCCAACAGCATGGACCAACTTGGGCTCTCCATCCAGGTGTTTTGGACTTCAACTCCCAGAATTCCTAACAGCCTCAGACCCCTTCCAGATTAAAAGGAAAGGGCCTGAGGCTGTTAGGAATTCTGGGAGTTGGAGTCCAAAACACCCAAAGGGCCCTGGTTTGCCCACTGACAGAGTTGAGAGACAAGAGCCTTCACCTTCTGATCTCTCTAAGGACGTCTATGCTGCGCTGGCTGACCTGGCATTTCAGCTTCCGTTTCCTGCTTTGCTTAGGGTGCTTTTTTCCCTTCTTCTAAGCAGAAAAAGTCAGATTAAACATGTTTTCGAAAAACCACGAAAGCAAGCACAACTCGTCTCCGTGTCCGCGGGCGACGCAACTCCAGCGCTCGTTCTACTTCTACGCGCCGCGGCACCGGAGGGAGAAGCGAGGCGATGAGCCGCTACTCTTTCTCACTACCAAAAACGAAGCGGAGGGGAAGCGACGAGGACGACGAGGACGACAACAACACATCTCTCTCTGTCTCTCCAGTGACTCACATCTAGAAGGTTTACCGAAAAGAGAGCAAGCGGCACTCTTACCCCGCAAGGCCTTCAGGGAACTCATTTGATCCAGGACTTAACGGAGGGAAGGAGGGAGGGAGAGAACAAAGCCATGAGTCAAAGAGAAACCTTTCGGAAGAAGAAGAAGGAGCGCCACTCTTTATCCCCACAAAGAGAAACACAGCTGCGCATGGAGAGACCCCCAGAGAACACCCCCCGCCCGCCCCCCCGTTCCACCTCCAGCAACAATCCCCATTTCTTTAGAAGCGTTTGATTTCTGTGTCTTGTCAAAGGCTTTCACGGATGGAAACTCTGGGGTGTTGTGTGGTTTCCGGGCTGAATGGGAGGGAGGGAGGGGGGGGGCCATCACAACATCCCCACTTTTGCTTCCATGCACCCCGTTTGATCCTGATGAATAATAATAATCATATAATAATACTTCATTTATGCATTATTATTATTATTATTATTATTATTATTATTATTATTGTATTGTCGAAGACTTTCATGGTCAGAATCACTGGGTTGTTGTAGGTTTTTCCGGGCTATATGGCCATGGTCTAGAGCCATGATGGCGAACCTATGACACGTGTGTCAGCACTGACATGTGTAGCCATTTTTGATGATACACGGTCGCATGCGGCCGCATACAGAGAAGATGGGGCTGCATCCCAAGAAGGACATTTCATCCTCGGCTCCTACACCAGCATTTTTCTATAATGCTGAGATATATGGCATTATAGAAAAAGCAGGGAAGTTAAATAATTAGTTTTTGGTTTATTAAATACAGTTATATATTACAATAATAAATTTTTGTTATTAAACTATAAACATCATGAAATTATGGTTTTTTTCTCAAAGTGACACCCCACTCGAGTTATGCTCGTTTTTTTTGGCAAGTATTGACACACCAAGCTCAAAAGGTTGCCCATCATTGTTCTAGAGGCATTCTCTCCTGACGTTTTGCCTGCATCTATGGCAAGCATCCTCAGAGGTAGTGACATTTTTCCTAGTTCCAACAACCTCACTACCACTGAGGATGCTTGCCATAGGTGCAGGTGAAACGTCAGGAGAGAATGCCTCTAGAACATGGCCATAGAGCCCGAAAAACCCACAAGAACCCATTATTATTATTCATCAGGATCAAACATGGAAGCATGTTTGCTAGCTTCCAAAGCTAACAGGGCGTATTTCTTGGCACCATAATAAAATATAAACTCAAAAACCTGCCAGGATGAAACACCCTGCTTCCGGTTAATTTATTTATTTTATTATTTACTTTATTTATATATATATATTATTATTATTATTATTATTGATAGAATCCTAGAATCCTAGAGTGGGAAGAGACCTGGTGGGCCTTCATCCAGTCCAACCCCATTCTGCCAAGAAGCAGGACAATCGCATTCAAAGCACCCCCGACAGATGGCCACACAGCCTCTGTTTCAAAGCCTCCATAGAAAGAGCTTCCACCACACTTTGGGGCAGAGAGTTCCACTGCTGAACACCTCTCTCAGTCAGGAAGTTCTTCCTCATGTTCAGGTGGAATCTCCTTTCCTGTCCTTTGAAGCCATGGCTCCATTGCGTCCTAGTCTCCAGGGAAGCAGAAAAGAACTCGTTCCTTCCTCCCTAGGACTTCCTCTCACGTATTTATACACAGCCCTCATCATGTCTCCTCTTCTTCAGGTTCAACATGCCCAGCTCTTTAAGCCTCTCCTCATAGGGCTTGTTCTCCACACCCTTGATCACTTGAGTCCTTTTCCTCTGGACACATTCCAGCTTAGAGTCAACCTCTCCCTTCAATTGTGTTGCCCAGAATGGGACACAGTGTGAATCCAGGTAACGTGGTCTGACCAAGGCAGAAAAGAGCATGGGGAGCATGACTTCCCTAGATCTAGACACTAGGCCCCTCCTCTTGATGCCTGAGGCCAAAATCCCGTTGGCTTTTTTGCCACCGCATCACATTCCTGGCTCATGTTTAACTTGTTGTCCACGAGGACCCCAAGATCGTCCTCAGGATAAAACAGGAGACATGGAAGCAAAAGTGGGAACGAAGAAGCCTGGGAATCTTCCGAAGCTAGCGGGGAGTATTTCTTGGCACCCCAGTAAAATACAAGCTCAAAAATCCGCCAGAATGAGACTCCCAGCTTCCAGATTGGCTGCTTTTGGTGGCTCTGGCAGGGCTTTGAGAGGCAATGGGGCTTCTTTGGGGGCAGGCCTGCAATGACCGATCGCATCTCCTCTTACAAACCTGCTCGGGCACTGCGGTCATCGGAGGAGGCCCTGCTCTCGGTCCGACCCCCATCTCAAGTACAGCTGGTGGGAACGAGAGAGAGGCTTCTCTGTGGTGGCCCCCCACCCCACCCCTGGAACACCCTAAAGAAATAGAGCTGGGCCTTTCCTCCACTCCTTCAAAAACAACTGAAGACCTACTTCTGCTCACCCGCATATGGAGAGGAGGAGGATTCGATGGTGGAGAGATCAGGGTCGGGCCTCTGGGTGAGAACCAGTTGTATTTGGGCCTTCCTGCTCCACACCACCCAAAGACCTCATTTGAGGACATAACGAACCCACACCCTTTTGTGAAGCCTTGCTGGATGTTGTAAATTAACGTGGATGTTTTGTTTAGAGTTTACGTTATTACATAATTTTTTTCTGACTAGATGTAGTTTAATTTATTGATGTTGGGCTTTAATTTGATGTTAGGATTTTATGGTATTTTCCTACGTAGGGTTTTTTCTGGGATTTTATGCCAGTGTTTGTTTGTTTTATGTTGGCATTGAATGCTTGCTGTTGTTGTGTTGGAATCCCCTCGGGGAGAGAGATAGAGAGAGAGAGGGCGGAAGGCCAATACAGGTTTATGATGATTGGTGATGATGATGATGATGATGATGATGATGATGATGATGATGATGGTGATGATGATTCAGGGGCCCCTCCTTGGAGGGAAGGGAAAGGGGACTGAGGCGCACTCACCTTCCATGGCGTACTTCATGTCCTGAGCAAAGAGGTTCCACATCACCTCCGCACTGATCTTCCCAACCGCAAGTTCCTGCGGGAACCTGGAATTGAACAAAGCAACAGGTAAACCCTTCCAGGAAGCATAGGCATGAACTAGAACAGGAAACTTGAGGATAATGGAAATATGAACTATCCTTTGGCAATGTTCTCTCTTCTGAGAAGCGTAAGGCCAACATCACTTAATTTAAGCCCAAACTAGTACCCATGAGATCATGCCGAACACACCTGTGCTTCAAGGACTTCTCACGGATTCTCGCAGACCACACCATCTAATTCGTCTATTTTTCACTCCCTCTGTTCTCAAACCTAATCTAGCTTCACAGGAAAACTCCCCTTCGGTCGGAGTCCAGTTCCCAAGGGAACTGGTGCCACTATCCCTGGTTGCTTGGGGACGATCACAGGGATGCAAAACACCATCTCTCCTAGCACTGATAGACTCATCACTTTGAAATCCATCAGGCTCCTCATCCTCCAACATGTCAGAAAAGTAAGAGAAATCCTCAGCCACTTGCTGAGCAACAAGTGATGGGTTGTTTTAGGTTTTTTCAGGCTATATGGCCATGTTCTAGAGGCATTCTCTAGAACATGGCCATATAGCCCGAAAAAACCTACAACAACCCAGTGATTCCAGCCATGAAAGCCTTCTGTCAACTTTCTCCAAGCCAAACACCCTCAGCTGCCTGAGATTCAGCTCAATTGGATCAGTGGTTCCAGGCCTCCACTGCTCTCAGCTGGGAAGGCCTCCCATCGAATGGGTTTTGGAAAAGAATGGGTTGGGGCGGGGAGGGCGTGTCTTTATGGCATCCGGCGGGATCCTTCTCAGAAAGAGTTCCCAGAGCAATGCTGAGCCCTTCCGCCAGGCTGACAAGAGAAATATTCTACGCATGGATGTAATGAGAAAGTGGAACGGGGCTCTGAGTGCAAATGGGGCACGCAGCCACCCCATTCATGTGTACGTGTGCATGCGCTTACTGGTTGAGGACGGGGGCGTAGGAGTTCTTGTCCTCCTCGATGATGGAGACGATGAGGGTGATGAGTTTGGGCCAGAAGTCCAGGTTCTGGATGCTGGGGCCCTGCTCCTCCGCCGCCGCTGCCTCCTCCTCCGCGGCTTTGTTCTGGAAACGCAAAGGCATGATGAGCCCACAGCGGAAGCCTCCCTTGTTGCTCTGCCCTCCCCCCAAATATCCATCATTATCTGGAATTAGCCCCCCACCCCCTCGGCCCTTTCTTCGTGAGCATCCCAATAAGCGGCCCCTCTCCCAATATGGGGCCAAAGGCAGATTACAGCACAGGCTTAAAGCAGACTACATCTGGGAAACAAAGGCCGTTTCGAAACAATTACTCCAATCCTGTTAAAACACAGCTAATTTTAAGCAGGATTACAGCGTTCTAGAAAAGATCGGAAATAAGAACGGCAGGATCACAAAGAGGTTTTTCCACAGAACCCACGGATGACAATAATATCCGTGGGTGGCCAAGAGGGCTTGTTGACCAGCTGATCTAAACTAGCGACACACAGCCTAGGATCTGTCGTGACTTGACTCACGGGGTCGGCCTGGTATTCGCGGCTGTAGAGTTCCTGGCAGTTGTTGAAGATGTATTCGTAGGTGGAGTTGAGGCACGCCTTGACGCAGTCCTTGACCACCTGGCCGGCCCGAGGGGGGCTCTGCAGCTCCTGCACCTGCGGGGGGGGGGGGGGGGGGGGGGGATACAGGGTCAGCCCACCCACAAGCGCAAGGAAGTCATCAAGGAAGGGAAGGGCCACCTTCCAGAAGGGCAGCATAGATGGGGCTCCTTTGGCACATGAGGCACAGAGGGACGTCGAGCATGAAACCCAACCTGACAGCACAGGGGACGGCAGTGCGCTGAGCAACACGAGCCCCCCATCACTGGGGGGGGGGCTCCTCTTTCTGCCAGTGATTCAGGCCCAGTTACAGCTGTCAGGGCGCATTGGGGGGCGGGCGGGGGGGGGGGGAGTGAAATGTCATGGTCCTCCTCCTCCATCACTCTGTGTATAATGGGCTCCTGTCCTTGCGGAACGAATGGCTTTGTCTCCGGTAATTAACTTTCGTTCCGGAGATATTTACAAAAAAGAGAGTGTTTAATTAACGGGAGGCTTGATGGTTTGGCAGCCATGTCATTGGGAAGAAGGGAGGGAGGGAGGGGCAAAGGACATTTTCCAGGTGGAGGGTTTTTCTGTCCCTTTGGAGGCAAAAGGAGAGCCAGCCCCACTTGGAGTGGGGCCGGGGAGGAAGTGGCCGCGAAAGGCAGGGGAAGGGAAGAAGGGTTGCAGGAGAGAGAGACCCGGCCTGCCCTTGCCCTACCTTCATCCGGAAGAAGGTGATGCTGGTCAGGAGGTCCACCGTCGACTTCAGGTCCTGCAGGCGCTCCTTGCTGCTGGCCGGGAAGTTGTTCTGTGAGCAAGAAAGGAAAGAGCAATCACGGAAGGCCTCCATCCGTCAGAGGGAAAGGGCCCCAGGGATCCCAGCACACACTGGCCGCCCAGAAGGGCAGAGGGACATCACCATTGCCATCATCACCATCAACATTGCCATCATTGCCATTGTAATCATCATCAACATCATCATCACCATAATCAACATCATCATCATCATCACAACCATTGCCATCATCACCATCTCCATCATCACCATCATCATCGCTATCGCCATCACCCTCTCCATCTCCATCATCACTAGCATTACCATCACCATCATCGCTGCCACCACAACCATCATCACCATCATTGCCATTGTAATCATCATCAACATCATCATCACCATCATCAACATCATCATCATCATCACAACCATTGCCATCATCACCATCTCCATCATCACCATCATCATCGCTATCGCCATCACCCTCTCCATCTCCATCATCACTAGCATTACCATCACCATCATCGCTGCCACCACAACCATCATCACCATCATTGCCATTGTAATTATCATCATCATCATCATCATCATCATCATCATCACCATCATCACCGCTATCGCCATCACCATCTCCATCATCACTAGCATTACCATCACCATCATCGCTGCCACCACAACTATCATCACCATCAACATCGCCATAATTGCCATTGTAATCATCAACATCATAATCAACATAACCATGACCACTATCATCATCACCATCACAACCAACGCCATCATCCTCTCCATCTCCATCATCATCATCACCATCATTGCCATCATCACCATCAACATCATCATCATTGCCATTGTAATCATCACCATCATCATCACTATCATCATCATCACCATCACAACCATTGCCATCATCGTAATCATCACCATCACCACCATCGCTATCACCCTCTCCATCTCCATCATCACTAGCATTACCATCACCATCATCGCTGCCACCACAACCATCATCACCATCATTGCCATTGTAATCATCATCAACATCATCATCACCATCATCAACATCATCATCATCATCACAACCATTGCCATCATCACCATCTCCATCATCACCATCATCATCGCTATCGCCATCACCCTCTCCATCTCCATCATCACTAGCATTACCATCACCATCATCGCTGCCACCACAACCATCATCACCATCATTGCCATTGTAATCATCATCAACATCATCATCACCATCATCAACATCATCATCATCATCACAACCATTGCCATCATCACCATCTCCATCATCACCATCATCATCGCTATCGCCATCACCCTCTCCATCTCCATCATCACTAGCATTACCATCACCATCATCGCTGCCACCACAACCATCATCACCATCATTGCCATTGTAATCACCACAACCATCATCACCATCATTGCCATTGTAATTATCATCATCATCATCATCATCATCATCATCATCACCATCATCACCGCTATCGCCATCACCATCTCCATCATCACTAGCATTACCATCACCATCATCGCTGCCACCACAACTATCATCACCATCAACATCGCCATAATTGCCATTGTAATCATCAACATCATAATCAACATAACCATGACCACTATCATCATCACCATCACAACCAACGCCATCATCCTCTCCATCTCCATCATCATCATCACCATCATTGCCATCATCACCATCAACATCATCATCATTGCCATTGTAATCATCACCATCATCATCACTATCATCATCATCACCATCACAACCATTGCCATCATCGTAATCATCACCATCACCACCATCGCTATCACCCTCTCCATCTCCATCATCACTAGCATTACCATCACCATTCATCACCATCATCGCTATCACCACTACCATCATCACCATCAACATCGCATTCATTGCCATTATAATCATCAACAAAATCATCACCAATATCATCATCACCATTACAACCGTCACCATCATCACCATCATCATCACCATCACCACCACTGCCATCATCCTCTCCATCATCACCATCACTACCTTCACCATCATCGCCATCACCACCTTTGCCACCATCATCACCATCAACATCGCCATCATCATCACCATCGTAATCTTCACCAACATCATCATCATCACCATCTCCATCATCACCACCACCATCAACATCGCCATCACCCCCATCATCCCCGTCATCGTCCCCACCCTCCTCCTTCCCAGAATAGGAGGCAAGTCCTTCCCTCCCAGGAATCCACGGAGCGCTTTGGGGAGAGCCAATTAGGCGCCCGTTTATGCAACAGACCCTTATCATTACAAATTAGGTCTAATTACATTTTACTGCATCCCACACTCGGCTACTATTTTTGGCGCAGAATGAACTGACATCTCATCCAAGGGTTTAGTCATTTTTTTCCTCCCCTAATAAGCAGCGTTCTCCCACAATGTATAATTAAGCCATTCCTGGAGGGCTTCTCCTTGGACCATGGAGCTGGCCACGGGGGGGGGGGGGGGGGGGGGGGGGGGAGGAGTCTTCTAAGGGGCAAAAGGAACTGTATGATGTCAACACAATGCATCACAACCCTCCATTGCACAACCCGGTCCTTGTCCTTTGCTTCCAGGAAATCCTGGGCATTCCGGATTAGGGAGGGAAGGGGGCGGAGTATCCTGGTGGGATTCACGGGCCACGTTCTCTGAGCACAAGCGCAGCCACACGGGATCCTTTGGGGCACGGGTTGGACCTTGCGCAATGCTCTGCCTCCCGGGCACTCACCCGGTACATGGAGAGGTCGATCCGGAGGGAGTTGTGGAGCTGGTCCAGGAGCTTCACAAAACGCTCTTTCTGTGGGCCAGGAAAAGAGAAGAGGTCAGCGCTCAGGAGGGGTTTCCACTGATATCCAGTTTTGGGGGTCAAGCGGAAACGAAGGCCTCCTCCCCCAAAGGGCAGGCACTCTTTCCGCTCCTTCCGGGGCAACGCTGCAGGGAGGGCGCCTACGTCCTAAGTCTTCATCCTTTGAGAAGCAACAGGTCTTCCCCAGGCAAGTCCAGCCTGATCTCCTCAAGGTGGACTCTTGGCCAATCAATCCCTCAAGCCCAAAGCACCACTGATCTTGCAGGGAGGACGCCCCGTCTGCTCTCACTTGTGTGTGAGGAAGACCATCCACATGGAGACCGCATTGCAACGCAGTGAGTGCATCTGGACTGCTTTGGATGTGGCAGTGCTTGCACACCCCGAAAGGAAGGCTAAGTTCTCTGAGTTGCTGTGAGTTTTTCGGGCTGTGTGGCCATGTTCCAGTAACATTATCTGTTCTCCTGCACCTGTGGCTACTGGCATCTTCAGAGGTTCTGTAGGCACTGAGACAAGTGGAATAAATATATGTATATCTTTCCTAAAAGGAGGGAGGATGCCAATCTAATTTTGCTGGGGAGCGAGTTCCACAAGCGGGGGGGGGGGGGGACGTGTTTGTGAGGCCGATGGGACCGAGAGCAGGGCCTCCCTCAAGCATATCTCCCTCTACATTCTGCCACGTAGTTTAAGATCCTATGGAATATATATATATTGTCCGAACGTATCTCCCTCTACGTTCTGCCTCGCAGTTTAAGATCCTGTGGGAAGGCCCTGCTCTCAGTCCCATTGGCCTCACAAACATGTCTGGTGGGGAGGAGGGACAGGGCCTTCTCAGTGGTGACCCCCTGCTTGTGGAACTCGCACCCCAGCGAGATTAGTTTGGCGTCCTCCCTCCTTTCCTTTAGGAAAGAACTGAAATCGTGGTTTTGGAACCAGGCTTTTGGCTAGCAGGCACAATGGCACTTTGGATATCGCACTGGACCATAATAATAATAATAATAATAATAATAATAATAATAATAATAATAATAATAATCCTTTATTTGTAAGCCGCAGGACTTGGTGTCGCTTACAAGAGGCCGAGCCCAAATACATCATAAAACATAACAACAACAATGCACCATAACCATATGATGATTGTTATGATAATTAAAAGGGCGATATGATTGTATAACGAATGTTATTGTTTTTAACCTATTGTGTATTTATGGGTTTATATTGTTGTTATATTGTGATATTTGCGGCATCGAATTGTTGCCAGTGTTAGCCGCTCTGTCCCCTCTCGGGGGCTGAGTAGGGCGGAGTCAAAATGTTGTAAATAAATAAATAAATAAAAATATCTATATCTATCTATTGATATTTATTTATTTCCTATACTTGTATGCCGCCCCTCTCAGCCCGAAGGCGGCTCGAGGCGGTTTACATTTGGCAATCAATGCCGCACAAGAGAAAATACAGTCAAAAACAATTACATATTGTAAAAACCATATAAAACAATAAACAATTAGCAATTAATACCATAAAATACAGTTCTCAGCGTCTCATCATTAAAATAATTTTCCATCATATCGTCCTGTTGTTCCATGAGTCTCAATTAGTCAGTTATCTATATCTATATCTCTATCTATATATATAGCCTCCCAGACAGAGGATGCCTCCAGGCAACAAACCCCAGGCTACTTCTATGAAGAGACCCTCACTGATTGGCTTTGCAGCTTCCAGGTTACTCAGTTCTATTCAAGCTTGCAAACTGCAACACTCACACTTGGTTTACCAGGCAAGGGTTCTTTCTCCCACCCTGGACATCATTCCACAGGGATATATACACCCCACTTGCCTCACTCCCAAAAGACCTCTGAAGACACCATTAGCCACAGATGCAGGCAAAATGTCAGGAGAGAATGCTGCTGGAAGATGGTCA